CTCGGTACCCAAAACAGTGCTAACTTTTGCATCCTCAAAAAGAAAAATAAAAAGCGTATGGCCAGATTCGAACCCGCGTCTAGCAGCTTACAAAAGATTGGCTTTACCACTAGGCCGCGAATAGCTCTGCGGTTGGATAAGAGATGGCCTGTATTTAACTATGCCGTGAGCATTTGAATTCAAAATTTTCAAATTATTCGAGATTTTTTGCTCGGTATGCGTAGTTCTCGAGGGGGGGCGGTAACCGCGCGAGATCTCGGAATTTCGCTCGGTACCCAAAACAGTGCACCTCGTACACCATGGCAGAGAATCGTTCTGAGAGCACCATGGCGGCTGAGTGGTCATCGTGCATCCTCAGGGATCTCGTGCGCTCCGTCGGCGACTTGCTGTCCGCCACGAATGACGCGGACATGAGGGCCGTCTGCAGCAACCTGAGCGCCTCCATCGCCAAGCCACCTCCACTAGGCCTGGGCGGCGATCACCGTTTCCTCGAGCGCGAGTGGGTCATGCTCGACAAGGAGAAGCCCGCGGTTGGCGTCGACGGCCGCCTCTTCCTTCACGTCTCCAGCGGGCGCTTCCTCCGTCTCCCCGTCCCGCTGCTCGACGAGAAGGACTACATCCTGGTCGGTGCCTCCGATGGTCTCCTTGTCCTCGGCGACACCAAGGGCCTGCACCCTGCTCGTCTTCTCAACCCCTTTACTGGCGACCTTATCCCCTTCGCAGCCCCAATTCCTCAGGAAAGCGGCGTGCTGACTGCCGTGGCCGGGTCTAGCTCTAGCCTCACGCTTCTCTTCTGGTTTGAAGACTGCCGCGGCAACGACGTGGTTTACTGTGCTGAACCCACCAGCCCGCTATGCGAGGTGCAGTTCGAAGGCTGCGGGGAGAGCGAGTTCGGCCTTCGCAGCCTAATTTCCTACGCCGGCCACTTTTACGTGGTCGACTACGATGGAGGGTTATTCAAGGTCGTGGGCACGGCGCCGCGCTATCGCGGTGAGCTGATAGCCAAGACGTTTGACGAAAACCCTTTCTACTACCTTGTAGAATCTGCTCGGGAACTGCTCCTTGTTAGTCGTTGTCCTTGGGAGGACCTGGTGGAGGTTTTCAAGGTCGACACTGAGCGAAAACTGTTAGAACCTGTGAGGAACATTGGCAGCCGAGCACTCTTTCTTGGTTTCAAGTGTCTATCTGTTAATGCAGATAAGTTGCCGTCCGTCGACAGCAACTGCATATACTATGCTCATTGTTTTGGCACTGACAGCTTCACAAAGTATGATCTCAGCAACGGCAAGGTAGAGAGGCTCTCCTGCATTTTTGAAGATAATAAAGCCATTCGTCCTTTAAGCCTTGTTCAGACGCTCCTCAGTTACTGCGCAACTGCCCATCCAGACATATGTGCTCAAATTGAACGTCTGAAAGGTTGATCCCAATTAGTTCTGATCATGCTATAGTTATATGTTCTGCTACATGCAACCTCTAATAAGCTTTGTTTTGCTATGTTTGAGTTATGAGACGAGCCATGTTGTCGCTGGGGCTGTATTGTAAGAATTTATCTGAAATGATGCACTGCTTGCATCAATCTATAATCCTATGTTATTAGCCATTGTTTTCCGTGTGCCTTGCTGTTGTGTTTGAGTCCACCATGGAACATATATGAAAATGAATCAAAGCAAAGAAAGAATCTAGCAGGCCCGTTCTTTTGGCTATTTTGAAAGAATCTAGCAGGTCGTCAAATATTTTATGATGTACAGTAAATTGCATTCATAGTTTGTATTTTGTGAATTCTGTTTTACAAACGGCACGGTGGATTCTGTTTTACAACCTATATTTGGATTTTGTGACAGCTATTTGTGCCCCTCACTTATTTAGCAAAAGTTGTGCACTAGTATTTTAGCACATCAGTCCTTGGTCGTCTTTCCTTAGTGCCGGAGCTTCCCAGGGCCAACCTCGGTCATGCCTCTCCAAAGCCCACGAGGAAACATTTGTATTCTGCCCGTTTGTCCATTCTCATTTGCCAACGAAAAACCAGTCAAAGCAATCGTTGTTGTGCCCCCAAGAATTTACCCGAGCTCCGCCGCCATGCCCATGCTAGCTGCCTCTGCCGAACACAGTGGCTCGTGCGGCAGCGAGGACAGTTGGGAGTGCGAGGTCACCCGCATATCCGGAGCACAGCAAGAGCGCGGGTGCGTGATCGAGTGGCCAGTGGCATGCGGGCGTCGAGGCGGGCTCACATACATTGGGGCCAACCTCGACCACGCCTACGCGTGAGCCAGCCCTGAATGGAGCAACATTGTCTAAATACACATTTTAAAGAGAACAAAATTCGAGAAAAAAATCATGCGTGTAGATCCAGACATTATATGTGCGTGCACTATGTTTTGATGAAAAGGGACTTTTTTGTGTGGCTTGTGTAAAAAAGACAATTTTTGATGCTTGATTACAGCTATTCGCAAGGCATTTCCTTTATCTTTTTAATACATGCCACAAAAAATGTCTTTTTCACTGAAATTTTGTGTGCGAACATAGGATGTCCGGAGGTACACGCGGGATTTTTTTCTCAATTTTTTTTAACAATTTGAAATGTATTTTTATACAAATTTCATGTGTATCTACACCTATGAGCCAAAACGCCACTCTCAGGGATGCGTTTTCACTTTTCACTTTGGCTCATAAACCTCTTTTACTAGGAAGGATTCCCATAGGCCGGAGATGAAGACAGGCAGTGATGGTTTCTATCTCATCAGCACATTGAATAGTAGGCCTATAAGCACATAAATTTGGTCCGAGCTCCGCAGCCGTGCCCATGCTAGCTATGCTAGCTGGCTTTGCCGGACACTGTGCCTCGTGCGGCGGCGAGGGCAGTTGGGAGAGCGAGGTCACCCGCTTGTCCGCACCACGGCAGGAGCGCGGCGCGTTGTTTGCCGTGCATCCTACTGCAGCGGCCTTGAGGTGTTGAGTTTGTTGTATCAAGTATGGTTTGGTTTGGACTTGAGCCTTGAGGCGTTCAATCAAAACCAAATCATACCAACCATGTCGTTTGTTAAAGTAAATGGTCACGCGCTGGTGCTTGCTTTATGCAGTTATAAGCGAATTAAGAAGAGTGTCAGATGAACACACAGGCAGAGAGCCTCGTTATGCAACATACTTAAATGATATTAAGGCTGGTCATGGTGGGAGCAACATAGGTACTGTCTCCTGTCCGGTGTATTGGGCTCACTAGAATGAGCAGCGCGACCAAGGCAGATGATGACGGGCTACTAACGATTCCTTTTCTTGAGCCTTTGTTCTAAAAAAAACTAATGATTCCTTTGTTCAATAGTTTTCTCCAATCAACAATTAAGTGGGAATTGTGCAGTTAATTAACCTACTAGTAGAATGCCCGTGCGTTGCTATGGGCCATGGATATATGTTTTGCTGGTTGCATATATAAATATAATGCATATCAAATTCTGAGTTTTCTATTTGCTTTCGTGTTTCTGGGAAGTATCCATGAAGTTTATTCAAGAGCGTGGAGAATATATTCAACTTATTGTTGAAACTGGATGGAAAAGCTTCCATAATAGTATCCATCACATTAGACCTTTGTCCTGTACGAGGTCGATTTCCCTTCTTATATATGAAGAAAACATGCGGCACCACACAAGAATATTGGGAGGTTCACCACCGGAATATTGACACATTGTGAATATACCACCGGAATATTGGGAGGTGCACCATCCAAGTATTGTGTCCGTCGCTAAGAGTTTCTGCAGCAACGCATGGTGTGTCAGCTGAAGTATCTATTGAACCACAATACATACAGATGGATGGATCCCTGGATCTAATACTTGGTGGCGGGGTCCACAAACAGTAGCAACCCTTCTCTAGACTATTCCATAAAACATAACTCTTCCCAAAAGATCCCGTAAAATTAACACCTCAAATTTCAGGACTTAAAAATTGTGTTGACCTACTCCTTGTCTGAAGACTTGACTCCATGTGGAAGCCTCTCCCTCCTTTTTTCTTTTTCCATAAAACAACCTACCAAACCCCATCTCCCCGACGGTCAGACTCCCCACCCAACCAACCCAGTCGCCGCCACCGCCAAACCCGGCGATCCCTCCCCTTCTCCATGGCAGCGAAATCCACTCCGGCAGCGATCATAGCCTGTGGTTGCGGCTATCAGCCTTGTTTTTATGCATATCTGTTGATCTGTGTGCGCGCAGATTTTCCCATGGTGGTGCTTCTATGTCGTGTCAGTTTTGCTAGATTCTTAACGGAACCTCACCGGGGTCGGCAGGGGTGTGTTTGCATCGGGGCCAGACCATGGTCGGGAGGGCGGGGAAAAGCGCCCTTGGCATTGGTGGAGGAAAGAGAGCGTTGGGGAGGATTAAGAATTGAAGGAGAATGGTTTTCTTCTCCTCAAATTTGAGCAGAAAGAGACAAGTTTGAGGAACAACCCTTCAAATTCTTGAAGAGTTAAAAATTTGAGGAAAGGGCTAGAAAGGGTTAACTGCTCAAAAGATATCCTCAGTTTTGTGCGCACGGGAAGTATATTCTTCTTTCGACTTTTGATGGTGAAACAGTGCATAGCAAAGCATCAATGCCGATTCAATACATGCAATGATTATGAATATAGGAGCTCCGGTTCACATACTCAACACAAAGACACTAACTCCTCAAGAACACTTGCGTCCATATAAAATAAGGGCATTTTTAGGGAGTTAAGAACATTTATTTGGTTGATAAACCAATCGTAGTACAGCTGCAATGTAGCTCTCATTCTTCACAGAAGTAATGTAGTATAGCACACACTTCCGATATCAAATACATTGGTCCAAATGATAAGCTAGACTACTCCTTGGTCGCAGCTAAATCTTTCTCGGAAAGTGTATGCTCCTTATATTTCTGGCCGGTCCTAGATGTAGATGTACAGTACTCATAAAGTAAGAAGAAGGGCGAAAGCAAGATAAAGATAGTCATCATAGAGATAACGACAAAGTGAAGGACTGCACATGCCATAGCCGGAAGGGATAGTATAAAGTCCTGAAAGTGATAAACGCCAAAGTGTCGTTTGAAATCTTCAGCTGACCTACGAACAGTATGCGAGTTAATTAAACATACATTGTCACGAATTAACTAATCAACAATGAGTACCTAAAAATTAAGTAGATACATAGCGCAGTAATTCCAAATATATAATCATATGTAATTACCATGGTTTTGAAGGGGGTCGCCCAAGCAACTGGAGCAGCTTGGTGTTCTTCTTGATCTCCATGGTGCATCTCTCAGCTTGAAGATCGTCCATCTCGCGGAGCAAACGGAGCAACTCCTGCCGCTTCTCCTCCAATCCTCGTGTGCCGAGGCTCACAGGGAAGTGCTGCATGGGCAATGAAATGTAGATGATTGTTGCATGCATTAGAATTTAATTACTCTTTCCGTTCACAAATATAACATGTTTTGAATATTTCAATATGGACTACACACGGACTGAAATAAAATGAACAAACATAGTAAACTGCATCTATATACATCTGACGCAGAAAAAAGGGAAGCATCTTATATTTGTGAATGGAGGGAGTACTAGCGAGTAAGTAAATTCTTTGGTTCCACGACCGCACACACGTAGTTAGTTAGTATGGTGATTTGGTTCGGTTCAACATACAAAATAAATTCTTTGGTTTCAACTTACAAAGGAGCGCACGTGACGTACGTACCTTGTGATTGTTGGTGAGAGGATCGTATGGTGATTCAGGGGTGCTGCTGAACCACTGGAGTGAGCGCAGCCTGCCATGGAAAATAGTCCACGGCAGCTTCCGCGGCTCCTCCTCCTTGACGACGGCGATCGACCTGGCCGCCATGAAACTGCCCTGCAGTGGCCGCTCAAGGCCGGCATGGCCGCAGACCTTCCTCGCGGCAAACCGAAGCAACGCGGCCATCGAAGCTCCTTCTTGTTCCCTCAGGTAGATAGATAGTATGCTTTGTTCTCCCCTAGCTAGCTAGCTAGCTTCTTTCAGGGTAACTTATAATACCGGCGCGCGCAGTCACGTTACACCCACACCACCCGGCAACAAAGCTGCCTGACATACCAAACCCTACTCAAACGAGTTGGTTGCTAGTTCACGTGGACAGCGTGCACTCCCACGCACAATATTTCGAGCTAAATATGTAGGGGTGCTTTCAGAAAAAAAAAAG